AAAGGAAATCGGGCCCGGCCTTTCTTGCAACAAATGTAACTCATCGTGCAGCTCAGGGTTTGTCCGGAGAAGTGCGGGAGGAGGAGGAGGAGTGCGAGTTGTGCTCCCGTTTTGGCACTCGGCCGGTCCCTTGGCTTATCAGGGCTCCAGCTTTCCCACTGTCTGTTCCGTGACCCTTCCTGGTCCCGCAGAGGCTGTGAAAATACAGCACCGAAGATGTTTGTGACAAGGGCCTTGCCGTGTGACAAGGGCCATGCTCCTCAGGCTGCCCGTCTGTGGGAAAGAGACCTCCTTTTGTACCCCCATGTAAACCTGCTAGGAAAGAGCTGTGTAGTCCAGATGACCTGTGTTTGGTGCTGCTGTAAAGCCTTAGAGGTCTCTGAGGAAGGCACTGTTGGGCCACCTGTTCAGTTCAACATTTAATGCCTTTGCGAGCAGGCACACAGTGTTAAGGTCTGTTGTTTGTGTCCCCTCTGGGACTCTCTTGGTCTGTGTCACTCGGGATGGAGGGCAGAGCCCTGGCCTGCTGGGGAGCAGTGTCCTGTGCATCACCCTGTGCAGTGATGCTCAGTCCCACTCGAGGATATGCATCTTTTTGAAAGAGTTGAGGTTAGTTTAAGCCCAGCTTGTGCTGTGTCTTGTTTGCAGACCTGCAGTCACAACACTGATTAATTGATGCCGGTTTTCCTCTAGTTTGTGTCTTTTCCCCACTTCACAGATCAGTATTTAGTGCTAGAGATAGGCTGTTGCTCTGGTTAACTTTGTTGTTACAAACTACCCTTTCAAATCTATCAAACTATCCTTTCAAAGTCCTGGTAACACCTCGCCTTCTGTTTAAAGCTATATTTCGCTTCACGTCATTTATTGATCACTTGTATTAAGTATCAGTTGTATCAAGTATTATACTTGAGCGATTAGGCATCATGTACACAGTGTATTCATCACCTGAGAGGGTGACCCTTCAGGGTAAGTGCCAAGTCTGTTTCCTGAAGGAGAAATGTGTAATGCTTTGGTTTTGAGCTTTCTTTTACTTTCTTGAAACTTGTATAACTCATCAATTCACTCTTCCCCTCATCTTTTTCATCCTTTGTATAACATCATTGATAGAGTAACATATTTCAGTGCTTTCTTTTCAGGGTTTCTGGAAAACCAGAAGCAACTCAAATATGTGAACTGGTAAGGTATTTTTATTTCTTCCTTACTTTCATCTTTGTGTAGTTCAGTGAAGTGAAAAACTTCATGTTTCAAGTTACCAAGTTACTCAGGCTGATTAAGTTGTTTGCTTTAGAAAACCACTGTCTAGGAAGAAGAAAAAAGAATGTGATTTTTGTGTGCCTCTGAATTGTTCTCTACAATGTGTAACTCAAAGCTGCAATACCATGAGAGGGCAGAAGCTGCAGCTCCTGGTTTTTATTGCTTATTACTTAGTTACAGCAATGCTTTTAAGTTTTTTTTAAAAAGTTAGTGTTGCATGAGTTGGGAGACACTTGTTCTCTCTTGAAAAAAGAAATACATCACTGCTCATTCCTGTTCTTCAGACTGTTAGTGCTTTACTTTTCTTTCAATCAGAATTTGGTAACTTCTGCTATCATCAGATTAATAAAACACTTCGAAGTGTGGAAAAATAAATTACTCTCTTTCGTTTGTTTCCTTTGGCAATTTTGTGCATTAATATAGTATTTACTGATTTTTCCTTTTGGAGCTGAAAGGAAGTAAGAAAGGGGTAAATAGTGTTGTGCCTATACTCCTGGTTTCAGTATAATTTTGACTATAACCTGGACATTGGTTTATGCAAGTCCCAGGCAGAACTGGCTCTGAGTCTGGCTCATTTGAAGCATAGAGCTGTACAGCTGAGCCAAACCTGACCAACTCCTCGGGGAACCTTGGCCAACTGGGGGCTATTTCACTTATCTTCTTGAAACTCTGAAGCATTCCCAGCATGCTCTGTCCCTTCCATGGGTGCCCTTGTACAACTTTCAGCCTGTGTGTGGTTTTCTTAGAAGAATGCAGTGCCAGTTCAGTAAATGCCTTGTGTGTGGAGATCAAGTATTCTCACTGGGATGAGACTGAAAGAACCAGATTTTGTGATGCTCCAGGCCAAATTAGTGCAGAACAACTCACTTCAGCCTGTCTCCCAAGATGCTTTCAAAACGTAAGTGGAGGTTTCCAGCGTAACTATGAGCATAAAACAGTGTTTTTTGTAAAACTCCATGGCATCTGCAATAAGGGTTGGATGAGAGAGGGTAGACCTAACTCTGAAAGCAGAGGTGAGGGTATTTGCCTGTTGCCTAATAGGCTGTTACTGTTGTTGGTGTTACACTCATGTTTTCCTTTCCAGCCTGAAAATTCTGATAAATCAAGTGCAGAAAGCGATTCGGAGACTGAAGTGGAACAGGTCTCTGTGTATCATAAGCTCCTGGCTACCCTGAAGACCTCACCTGAGTCTGAGAGTGAGGAAGAGGAGGATGAAAGTGAATCAGAAGAAGCTGAGGAAAGTGAGGCAGAAATGGACAGTGAAGGGTCCCAGGAGACTGGAGAAGCAGATGGAGGTGAACCAGATAAGAATGATGTACCAGAGGAGGAAGAAGGTAGTTTGTCTATTCCCATGCTTTGGTAAATGTTTGACTAACGTATATTTTTAGCCGGGACGCTGGTGTAGACTGGATTGTTGGCTGGGTGCTCTTCTGTCTTGGAGACTGTTGCTCCATTGCCTCTGTGTGGGGGAAGGATTTAGCAGGAGAGAGAGTAGCTGTGCTCGTTTCCCGTCAGACAGCCTGCTGCTGCTTCCTCAGATGTTGTTTGTGCGGCAGCACAGAGGAAATCCACATGGAGCAGCAGACCAGGGATTCTCACCCACTCATGGGAGATGCAAGCTGTTCTCTCAAGCAGCATCTGGCTTGGCTGCTGCCACCGAGAGGAAGGAAAGGTTTGCCTCTGACCAGAGGAAAGAATATATGAATTGGAAGGAAGCATCTGCCTTAATGGTGAGGTATCCTCATTCATGAAGTCTGCAAGGAAATTCTGGGAGAGAGGAGTCACATTTTTATTATTTCCAGTTATTTTTGGGTCTTTGGAAACTAAAAGCTATATTCCCCAAATAGGTTATTTCTGTAATTTTCTCTGGAGAAACACATTTTGTATTATGTAACATTTGGCATGCTAGCCAAAAGTCATCTCTGTGGTAGAATACAAAGCCTGCTTTATCTTTTTGGATAGAGTCTTGGGAGGAAAAAAAATTGGTAGCTCAAGCTAGCAAGCAGTAATTACAGACAGTAACTATTCCAGGAGAAAATAACCCATTTCTCTCTAACAATTCACAGCTACAGACACAGCAGAGCAGACACTTGGCCAGGAGCAGGCCGATGGCACAGATGCCTCTTGTGACCCACGCCATGGAGCAAATGAGGAGTTTACTGATGTGAAACACGAATCTGAATTTAGCTTGGAAACCAATTTCATGGAAGAGGAGAGTGGAGATAGCAATGCAGACAAAAGAGACAACAGTTCTTCTCAAGGTTTTTCAGAAGGTAAAACACAGTGTATTTGTGTTTAGGGATCTGTCTCTAGAGGAGTATCTGTAAACATGTGTAAATTATCAAACACCCTAACTATACACTGTATAGCTTCTGAGTTCTTCTGCTATATAATTTTTTGTATTGCCCACATGTGAGCTGGTTCCATAAGGGATGCTTAGCACTAGTGCAGATGTGTAGCTGAGCCATTGGTTTTCTGTAGCCCCTGTGGACTGAGATTTGTGCTTTATGACTGATAAAACTCATGTATCAGGAACTAGAAATGTGCATGGAGTGTGTCTTGTTCCATTGCTTTAATAGTAGCTTTAAAAGCTAGTGTAATACAAAGGGCATTGCAAGCCTGCACTTGACTACGGAAGATATTCTTGGCACGAGCAGCACAGGAGATAATCACAAAGCTGACCTGCAAGGGCATCCTTCACAACTCAGTGGAGTTAGAGGTCACGTTCTGAGAAGCTTGGGGCATCCACAGTAATTTAGACAAATGTTCAGCACTCTCAGAATGTTGAAGGTTATGCAGGGGAGTCTGACTGCACCAGGAGCAGGAAGGTATGAGGCATCAGCAGACCACGTGTGGTGTCTTCTAAGTGTGCAGCCCAGGATCTCAGCACTGCAGTGCACTTATGGGTGGATCTGAGCTCTGGTGTCGGAGCTGTCCCACCATATGTAATACCAGTGACTGTGTTGCACGGGTGTGCAATAGTTCAGCATTGGCACTTGCACAGCTTCTGTTCATATTTCATGTTCTGTGGCTTTAAGATCAGATGGCATAATTTGAGAGAGAGAAATATGTTTGTAGCATCCCTAGTGATGCTGGCTTGTCATCTCAGAGCAGCAGCTGACATTAGATCTGGGAGGCAGCCTGGTTGATACGTGAAATGTGTGGAAGCATCAAAGGGCCATGTGATAGAAAAAACAGCGCGTTCTTGTTACCATGAGAGTATGACTTAGGCTGTTGGCATTGCATTTTAATGAGAATGATAGCTCTCCAACTGCATGCTAAGTATCCTAACAGCTTTGTTCAACCTATAAATGATGCACTGCTTCTCAGTCGGTTCCTGTAACTTGGAAGTGTCTTTATTACAGAAAATGAGTCACCTAAGATAGCAGAAAGGGGATCAGTTTCTACTGAGGTCCTGAGACCACTAGAGTTCCTGAAAATGCATCCCATTTCTCCCTCTACTTTATCTGAAAAATGCTGGAACCAGGAAAACTCAAATGAGGAGAGAGCTTGTAGTACAATTAAATGATATCTCGTTCACTTGCATTGCTGGAAAAATTTTCTCAACAGTGTCATGATTAGCAAATGTCTTGACTTTTGCCTGGATAACTTGCATGTGGGCCGGATATTTGTTGGCAAGCACGAGTGTTCCCTAATTAGTTTTCTTTATGCAGCGAGCGCTGCTGTGCTGCAAGCAGGATACAGGGCTTGGCTTTCAAAATAAGCTTTGCATGTGACTTTGTGCATGCCAGTGTCTTTGAATATAATATGATTTAACAGTTCTTTGCCTCTCCTTTCCTTTTCAAAAAGAAATGCTGATTAAATAAATCAGACTTTTGCTCACTTCAGGCAATTTTTGCCTCCCTTCTCCAAAACCTACCCAATATTTCTTTGCTTTATTACAAACTGTGTTTGTATCAGTGGCCAAAGCCCTGGGCAGAACTGTCTATAAATTAGGAAGGGCAGTAAGTTCACTTGGGACTTTACTACTGACAGCCTGTTTCACCTGCAAGGGATGGGCATGTTGGAGCTTAAGGCAGAAAATTGCCACAGTGTTTTCTACTACATATTGCTTTCCTGTCCAACATTTGTTTTGTGCTTGAAAATTCCAGTACTTCCATAAGTGCTCCTTTTTCTTTTTTAAAAGCAATCTGTCAAATCTGTTCTCTCTGTTCTTGTAGAGAGAATTTGACATCCTTTCACTCATCTCAAGGAGCTTTGAAATAACTGGTTTTAATTGTGGTGATGGCCAGCATGGAAACTGTCTGTCTCATTTGCAAATCCATTCTGAAACTTGATTCCACTATTAGCTGCAATAGTTCTCAGGCTATGTTTTTGTTGTTGTTATAAATAGATCCATTTAAGCAGCACATGGACAAAGAACTTGAGGAAAAAGAAGTAGAGAAAATGTCTACGCTTCCTAAAACATGCAGTCAAAACCAGGTAATAATCTGTAGCCGTCCAGAGTTCCTAAAGATGCTCGGATTAAAATAGTTCTTTTTTTTAAATGCAAGTGAAGTAGGTCATAATTGTTGTTATTATTAGCTGTTGGCACTGAAATTATCAAAAGTTGGTCATTTTGTTATTGTTGAACTGTTTTCTTCTCCATGTAGTGTTGAGCAAGAGTCAAAATCTGAAGTCTGCTGTTCTATAGGCATATGGGGACACATCTGAAACACGTAGCTGTAGAGTTTGATCTGTAGTCCCAAAACCTTGACATGGGGTAGAAACAGGGCTGGTTTCTGAGTGGTGAGAGCACAATGCCAGGGATTTTCTTTGCAGCTGAACTTGTGAGGTGACCATGTACCATTATAAAAGCACTTGTAATGCACTTTCATGTTCTTGCTTCAGGATGGCTCTCTGTACACATTTACAAGCCAGTGAAGGGAATTTGATACCTATATTATTAATAATGGTGATAATATGTGAATTACAGTAACAGAAAACCACCTTACTGCTTGTCAGAATATATCGATTTTCAAAATACTCATTTTTAGACAGACCTTTGCTTCCTAACTTTTTCACATCTGATTTTTGTTTTGGAGAGTTGCCTTCCATTCTGGTCAGCCATATGCTGGGTGACATTCATTGGAAGATATCCAATGGTTAGTTAGTCAGAGAGAAGGCTGTGGGTTTTTTGAAATTTTCTTTTTCTTTTTTCCTTTTTGGAATGTGGTGGCCAAAAATACCAGTGCCACCTGAAGCAATGCATGATACATCTTTGCCTAACTTGGTGTGTCTACCTTATGGGCATAGATGGGTGAAACTTGCATGGCAGAAGGCTTCGAGTTTTGCCCTACTATGCTGGTAGCTGTTGCCCTCAAATTCAGACACCCAAGTAGATTGCATTTAGCAACTGAATCACAACTTCTGCGATTAGCCCCTAATGGGTTTCTTTTCTTCTTTAAACAAAGTATATACCTCATTGCAGCTGACCAGTAAGCACAGTTGGACTCTTAGAGTTTTCATCTTGTCCATGGTTTGAGCCACTGGCTTGCTGAGTGGGCAGAAATTACATCTTTTCTCAGTTTTCTGTAAAGTGAGGACAGTTACAGACACATCACTGGAAACTACATCCAGATCTACTGAGCTCGAGGTCATTGTTATTTACCCCGGCAGGCTCTAAAAGAGATTGCAAATCGAGAGGAAAAAAAGGGTTTCAACTTGTGTTATGAAAATATAATTTCCTAAATGTCATGAGCTTGATTAAACTGCCAGCTGTAGTGATATGCTTTGAAGTGTACCAAGTTTGGTACATATGATTTCTCTTTGTTGTTTGTTGGGGTTTTTCAGTGGCCAAGACTGGGACAACTAACTTTTTCTTCCACGTTGGAGAAACATAAAACTTTGAAAGCAGATAAAGAAGTTGATGTGAAACAGCTTTATCTCCACAAGCCCTTAGAATCCACTTGGCCAAAAGTGAATAAACAGTTTCTGTCCCTAGTGAACAAACCAAGCGATTCCTCTTTTACCCCGTTACAAAGAGAGCTCTTCTGTATCATGAATACATACCGGGACTTGTTCTATCCAGAAAGAAATGCTTTAACAAATGGAGAAGAAATCCGGCATGCTTACTGCTTGCATGCCTTGAACCATGTTCTGAAGGCAAATGCCCAAGTGCTCAGCAACAACGCCAAACGAAGAGACCAAAAGCCAGGGACCAACACTGATGACTACAGAGATCAGGGGCTCACTAGGCCTAAGGTAAGAGAGCTCTGTTAACACGACTGCCTGACCTCCACCCTGGCTTCTTTCTTAGGCTGTACAAACATCCTGGCAGTTTATGCACAAGTAGTCCTGTTGTTGCTCTCTCAGGTGATGTGTTCCTGAGCATGTGCCTTTCCACATCACTTCATTGTGCCTGGGTGATGTCCTGTGTATGTGTTCCTGGGCATGTGCCTTTCCACATCGCTTCATTGTGCCTGGGTGATGTCCTGTGTGACTAGGGCAAATGCCCTGCAAGAACCCATTGTCCCCCTATCACTGTGGACTAAACATGTCACCTTTAACTGCTTCCATACCTAAGTCAGCCAGTGCAGACAGGTGCCTCCACATCAATCTTCAGTAGGAGTCACTCAGTGTGGGATGTGCCAGAATATTTTTTTTTTGTCCTTATGCTCTTGTAATGACTTGCCTGCCTGGGAGGATCTTCTTGTACGTGCGAGACCTCAGGGAATCCCAGTGCCATTGTCAACACTACCTGTTATAGTTGGGGAAGTGGGCCCCAAACCATTCCTCATTGGATTCCCAGCATCCTCTAGTTGATAACCAGGTGGATTTGACTATGGCCAGCCTGTCACCTGTGTGCCATCTGCCTGTGGAACAGTTCTAGAGTTGGGTTTCGGTGTTTGCTGCACCCCTGGCAAATGCCTTTGTTTTCTGTGTTGACTCCCCCATTAGATAATTCTGTTTCAGAGAGCTGTGCAGGGACTATTGACAGCCATTGAGGAGTCAGCCTGTCTGTGTAATGCAGGAGCTCTTGCTTGTCTGGGGGTTGGGGAGAACAGGGAAATGTGCTTAGTTTTCAGTTCCCCTGTAATGGTACCCTGGGTATGAGATGGGAAATCAAATTGAGCTGCTGGCCAGCACCAGTTCATGAGCATGCTGTATCTCAGCACATCCTCCCTCCTTCCTGCATGTCAGAATTGTTGTGTTTTGGTTGTTGGGATGCCTCGTGAGGACAGATCCAAGTCAAAAAATTTTCTTAACATAAAGTTAACTGTGAGTGTTCATATTTATGGGTTATTCTGTTGTAACTGTTGATCTACACAGGTACTGATGATAGTGCCCTTCAGGGAATGTGCTCTGCGAATTGTGCATATTTTCATCAATCTTCTTGAAGTGAATGACAAAAAAAAAATAGATGTAAGTAATAAAAAGCGCTTCAAAGGGGAGTTTGGCTCTGACCCAGAAGAGAAGCCCCCCAACCTGAAAAGACCTGAAGATTATGAAGCTGTCTTTGCTGGTAACATTGATGACCACTTCAGAATTGGTAATGACTTACTGAACAGATGATTTTTAGCTTGTAAAGTAGCAAGTTCTTCCAAAATGTCTAGGAGCTGTTAGGGCTGGAAGTTCCAGTGAGACCTTCTGGTTTTGCACTGGCTACTTGGATTTTTCTGAAAATCTTTCTTGCCTTGCCAGAACTTAAAAAGGAAAAGAAAGTATAAATGTAATGATTTTCACATCAAATTCAGAATCATTTAGGTGCAGTGACTGCTGTATTCTAGCAGGACTGCCCACACCTCATTTTGAAGAGGATAGCCTTGATTATGCAGCAAATTCTTTTATGTTATATATATATATTTTGAGTTTAATCAGCCTGCTCACAATCCTCTTGTAATTGGTAATGGTTGGAACAAAATTAAAGCTCAATACTGAGCAAAGCAGTTTTCTGCTGCGCTGTCCATTGTTTTCATGAAAGCAAATGGGTAGCCAGCAAGTAGGAGTGTTGGAGGAGCAGCAAATTTGAGACTGTTTCATAATATTGTAATCTTATGCTGTTTAATAACTCAGTACGCAGAGAATTAGCTAGTGGCTTGGTTCTTGGAGCTGCCAAGATGAGAAGGCAGTTTTTCTAACTTAACTTGACAGATCAGAGGCTTTTGAAATCTTGCCCCTTGAAAGATAAATTGGCATTCCAAGAAATTTAATGATACAGTGGAAGATGTGAGCAGGTCGCACTTGCTCTTTCTTCCTTCCTTCCCCAGTGAATACCTCTCAGGCTGAGAGCATCTTACTTTCAGTAGCATAATAATTTTCCTTGCAGTCCTCTCCCATACCACAGTCTGCTTGATCCACTTACTAGTTGTTAAGAATTGCTTGGAGAAACTTCAAGTGCTGTTACTTGCAGAAGCAAATCATGGAAGCAGAATAATTTCTCTTACTATGCCTCACACCCTGTTACTTCTGCACGAAGGTCTAATTTAGAGCACATTTGTTATGCCTTACTGAAACCAGTCTTCGACATTTCTAAATAGGAAAAAGACTTGATGTTGCTAAACTTTTGTATATGCTGTGACAAGTGATATCTTCTTCCTGGAAATTCAATCAATTGTGCCTTTGTTATAGTTTTTTTCCCTATCTGTATCATTGGGTTAAAATAGATGGCAGGAGGGGTCCCTACTGTTGTGTGAAATTCTTGGAAGAGTCTTCCGCTGTATCTGTGATAGTTGGCTCACATAGATGGGGAGAGAAGTTGGAGAGACACCTTCCACAGAATCATAGGATCGTAGAATTTAAGGGTTGGAATGGACCTTACAGATCATCTAGTCCCAACCCCCTGCCATGGGCAGGGACACCTCCTCCAACTAGATCAGATTGCTCAAGGCTTCATCCAGGCTGGTCTTGAACACTGCCAGGGTCAGGGCAGCCACCACCCACCTGTTCAGTGTCTCACCACCCTTATAGTAA